TGAACAACCATAAATATATATGTTAATAAAATGTGATAAATAGTGTTTGGGAGCCTAGCAAGAATTTCTATGTTTAGAGAAATCAAGGGGATTGATCAGCATGTGATAGAAGGCATAGCAGGCCAGTTGTTCTGCTGTGCCGGTCGACCGCCGATGTGCGCGGCGGTCGAGCCGCACAGCAGTCGGCACACAGGAGATTTTCTCCTGCTGTGCGGCGACCCGCAAGCGCGGCGGCGGTCGACCACACAGCAGGCAGAGAGTTTTCTTGTAATTGGGTCTTAATGGGTTTCGGGTCGGTTTGGGTCGGGTTGTGGGGATAGTATATATACTATTACACCCAAGAGAGCCCCATTTCTCATCTGAAATCAGAACCCTAGCCCCCTTCTTCCCCTCAACCCTAGTTCCCTCTCTCTTTGGTAATTTGAAGGAGGCTGGGAGATCTCTCTCTTCTCAAAAGAAATGTTTACCACTAATAACTCAAAATATTCATTAATAAATTTACGGGGTTCTACATTATCGGAAGTGGATACGGTTCGGATATTTGAGAATCGGATCAGATATGATCATGGATATAAACAAATATTCAACATAAATCTATTAGACATATAATCTTCATCCAAAACCATCAGTTAAAAACTAAAATTGAGCACAAATTTATTAGACATATAATCTTTATCCAAAATCTTCAGTAGCACAACCCAACTAAAACAATAGTATCAGGAATTGTAACCAAACTACAATAATCATATCTAGAATTTCAAAGGTCTATGAATTGAAACTTGAAGGCAAAAAAAGTTCAGACAACATTCAACATTCAACATTTCACAACATTCAACATTCAACAAAAAGTTCATGCCACAAACAATCTCCAAGTCATTAAACAATCTCAAGACATAACAAATACAGCCTAATCTTAAATCTCCATGTTATCACCAACATATGATCCACCCCCTTCTGAAATGGAATTAAGATGATATCTAATCTTAAATCTCCATGTTATCACCAACATATGATCCACCCCCTTCTGAAATGGAATTAAGATGATATTTTTCCAACATAGTATAGCAAATGGTAACTATATGATCCACCCCCTTCTGAAATGGAATTAAGATGATATTTTTCCAACATAGTATAGCAAATGGTAACTAAAAAAAAAAAAAGACTACAGGTGCAAAACAACCATACCCTCTTATCAAATCTCATCATCCGAATAGTAGACCTTTATGATGTCACCTTGTAAAAAAAAAGAAAAAGAAAAAAAAGAAGAACGATTGTCATGTTAAATATGGAAAAATAAAAACTTCAAGTCATGTGCTTATTGAGTCAAATAACATACATAATGGTGCTCTTACAAAGGTCTCGGCAATCTCCGAGTCATCATCATCCACTATCTTAGACACATCAAGAACATCATCCTTTCTAGTTACAACTTGTGTAACTACAAAAAATAGAGAAAAACATATAATCATTAGATGCTCATTAACCAAAAATAAAAAGATAAACTTTGTACAAATTTATTATTTACCTCCTTGTTCCACTTTAATCCAATCTTGTACGCATATTAATGCCTCCACCGTACAAATTTATTATTTACCTCCTTGTTCCACTTTAATCCAATCTTGTACGCATATTAATGCCTCCACCATATCCGTTGTCATTCGGCTTCTATAACAATGAATTACACGTCCCCCGGTGCTAAAAACGGACTTGGATGCTACGGTCGAGACCGGTATGCCCAAAACATCTCTTGATACTTTTGCTAGTATAGGATACTTCCCAAAGTTTGCTTTCCACCAACTCAATTTATCAAATCCTAAAGCCTCAGAAGCCTGGTGATTAAAGGGGTGGAGGGGTAGCCGAAACCTATACTCTAAGGCCTTGGGGAGATCAAAATGCTCGTAGTTATCTTCGAGCTCCATCACGCAATGTATTGAGCTGAAAGAGCGAATAAGATCAATCCTCATCTCGTTTTGTCCGGTACTAGGAGCATTGGAGGCCATTTTAGATCTAGGGATTTAACGTGAACATGTTTGAGAAAGGGAAATTTGAGAAGACGATAATGCTAAAGTTATAGAAAAAAATATCATTAGCAACTAAGAGATATATACACGCCTTGAAGAGGACACGTGTTAAGATCAAGATGGTCAATTTAGCTCAAACCAGATGGGCGAGATCAACCTCAAAATTCAAACATGCATCACAAGAAACAATGTGCTACCCCTTTTCTCAAAACATCACTCTACGCAAGAATCAAAGCGATAGCGACACATAACCCTCAATGACATCAAAAGGTCTCTCAAACAACAACCCCTCTCTTTTCCCATAAATGTTCCTTGGAATTCGATAACGGACGATGGTACAAATCTCTGTTGGGGCCCCACCAGCACGTGCAATCAACTTAGCGGGCCTGAAAACATGCTGTTAGTCAGCCCCCATTAAGAGCAACTTGAATGACTGGTATAATTACTTTTGTCAATTCAAGTCATCATAGGGGTTCGACGCCATTCGATGTGCATGTTCAAACAAGCTCTTCCTAGCCTACGCACGCTTGGAATTTGATGATTGGGTCAACTCTAATCCAGAACGCTTAAAACAAACATTAGACCTTGTAGACGTTTAAAAATGCCTATAGGTATGAATATACCTATCTAAGTCAAAGGAGATCATCCAAAGCCAAAATAAACAAAGAAACATAGAAGAACAATATGAACACCCACGATAAGGAATACTGACGCGCATAGGCACGACAGTGAAAAGTGTTGTGCTCACAAACAGAGTGATGTGTCTATGGTAAGTTATAGAGCTCTTCGATAGCTTTCCAACGCACCTTGGATCACCTCATTCCGACATCGGACGATGAAGTTAGAGATAAAATACCCGAGAGGTCGCAAACTGCATCGGAGGTGCGCGGCAGTGTACACTGCCGCGGCAATAGAGCAACAGTACAAGGTGACGCGCAAATAAACAGAGTGAAGCGCCAATGGGAAGTTGTATATCTCTTTGATAGCTTTCCAACGTATCTTGGATCACCTCATTCCGACATCGGACGAGGAAGTTAGAGATAAAATACCCGAGAGGTCACAAACTGTATCGGAGGTGCGCGGCAGTGTACATTGCCGCGGAAATAGCGCGACAGTACAAGGTGACGCACAAATAAATAGAGTGAAGCGCCAAAGGGAAGTTGTATAGCTCTTCGATAGATTTCCAATGCATCTTGGATCACCTCATTCTGACATCGGACGAGGAAGTTAGAGCCAAAATACCTGAGAGGTCGCAAACTGCATCGGAGGTGCGCGGCAGTGTACACTGCCGCGGTAATAGAACGACAGTGCAAGATGACGCGCAAATAAATAGAGTGAAGCACCAATGGGAATTTGTAGAGCTCTTCGATAGCTTTCCAATGCATCTTGGATCACCTCATTCCGACATCGGACGAGGAAGTTAGAGCCAAAATACCCGAGAGGTCGCAAACTGCATCGGAGGTGCGCGGCAGTGTACACTGCTGCGGTAATATATTGCACATTTAAGCCATGATATGATCAAAATGTGAAGAATCTCAAAAGATAAAAGTTGTAGATCTCTTCGTTAGCTTTCCAACGCATCTTGGATCACCTCATTCCGATATCGAACGAGAAAGTTAGAGCCAAAATACCCAGGAGATGCGCGGCAGTGGTAACTGCCGCGGCAATGCGCGACACCACGTACTGCCGCGGCCACTGGGAAGCTGAACACGTCATTTTTGACAGTTTTCTCGAGTTTTGTGCAGCCCACATGACTTATTAACTGCGGGGGGTTACTTATGAACGTGGGGTAAGCAGTTACAAGCGAAAATCATGCCCACTACCCACGAAAATCGTGACATTTAAGGAGTTAAAAGTCGTGGGAAGGCGGTGACAAAAAGGGGGCTGATTAGAGAGCATCCAAGGGGGGCTGATTAGAGAGCTTCCGATCGAGCACTACAGAGAGCATTTTGGAGCAGAAGAGACTTGAGCTTTTGGTGATTTTGAGGAAGAAAGAGAGAACTTTCACCCTTTGACAAGCATCATTTGGTGATTCCTAGAGATCTAAGCTCAGACTTGATCTTTGGAAGAGTGAACATCTTACATCGATAAGATATTCGCTTTCAAATCTTTACTTCGAAAAGATCCCTAAACACCCTCACGATCTGTGAATCGGTGGTCAACGAGCCAAAGCACTCCCGGCACAGGCAAAGTCCCACAAAAGCAGGAGTTGATAAACAATATCTGTGTTATTTTCTCGAGAGTTGTATTTTTGTTTATTTTCATTGTAATTTCCTGTAAACAAATCAAAGTTTTAATGGAATCGACAATGGAGTCAACTTTCGCTGAAAACAGACCTCGACATTATTTTTATAAACCCAAGGCACATACACAGTCTAGACCTTGACTTTCTTTTCACTAACTTGACAGTTCGACTTAGAAATTAAGTCGTCTCGCTCCATATTACTCAAAAGCATAAGTTTCAACATAATGAACATGAAAGGCAAAAATATCTTTATTTATATCTTTCAAAATGTTTGCAACTTGATTTACAAGCCAAAATACAACATGAGAATACACGAGACCTAAGAGACTAAACTAGGAAACTAGGGTGTATCCATGTCCCTACCAGGACTCAGAGGCAAAGAAACATTAGCTGAAGGTGGTGAATGAGTCGACTGGACCTCTAACTCATCCCCCTCGCTCGCCTTCTGCTGGAAGCTACGCCAGGAGGTAGTCATGCCCAGCCTTGCAAGTCATCGTCACCTCCACCTTTCCGAGGATGTTATGATGATATCCCTTGATGATTTTCTATTGATGAGACTTGGAATCTAGATAAGTGATACGGATTTTAGACTTGACTAGGGATTACTCGAGGTGGACGCTCTCGTCCTAGAGTTTCTTGCAAGCTAACTGCTCCTCTTCCAGCTCAACTTTCATGCGCTGGGTAGAGTGGTAGTCTGACTCAGCCTGCTCTATAGCATGATCAGCCTCTCATCTCTCTTGCGACACCTCCTCAGATAAGAATTTTATCATGTTGTTCCTCTCGAGGAGTTCATGCTTGAGCTTATCAATTTCGTTGGATTCCTAGCTATCCGAGGCCTTTAAGCTATCAATCATGCCCTCCCGTACCTCTATTTCCCTATGCCAATCGACCAATTCATTCTCCTTAGCCGATAGTGACTGAAGGGTATTTTCAAGGTCGGTCTACTAGGTGCCCGACTCCTCTTGAAGCTTAAGATAAGATGCTGGAACTTGCTCTATTCGACCAAATATCTCCATCTCCACAAGAGCCCTATGGACCAGATAACTCATGAGGCTTAGATGCAAACTGATATCTGGGACTTCCCCCAAGATCTCCTCATTATGGTGAAGCCAAAATTGCTCCACTGCCTTCAATTGAGCAATCTAAGACTCTAACACTGATGCCGTTGCATCAAGGTGATGAGTGTGTAGGCAATAAAAATTGCCTTAAATCCTAGCAAAGAAGCTCAAAGGCACATCAAAAGGCTTAAAATTCGTCTAAAGTTCACATGCATGCTTTTAAGTTTGCCTGAAAGCTGAACATCACTTATAAAGGGATGAACTTCTCTTGGACGCTGAACTCCGCCTGGAGATTAGAGCTCGCTTGAACACTTGACTTCACAGGCCAAGCCAAGTTCACCTGAATAACTTGACTTCGCCAGTAGAGCTAAGTTCGCCTAATAACTTTGCTCGTCTAAACTGATTGAGCTTCGCCTGACAGCTTCACCTACGAGGTTTGCCTACATCCTCCAACCTCACCTACAGGAGTTAAGCTTGCCTACAAGCTAGCTTGAAGCTCGCATGTAAGCTCACCTTCAAGCTCGCCTGAAGCTCACCTACAAGCTTGCCTAGCTCACCTGTAGGCTGTCTAAAAATTATTTTGGATAGCTGATTCCCATCAAATACCAATGATAAAAGTTACAATTTGATGACTTTCAGAAGGTTACAATTAGGAGACTTTCACGTCAATCGACGAAGGTTACAATTCGATGACCTTCACAACAACTGATGAAAGTTTTGATTCGATGGTCTTCACAATCACAAACAAGAGTTACAACTGACGGCTCTCATGAAAGTACACTATTGCCACTAGGAAGGAACCCTAGAGGAGGGTGAATAGCGTTTATGCTAATCTAATTCGGCTTATGCTAATTTAAAATTAATTAATAATATATCCTAGCATGAATGATATTCAACAAGATAAGAGCAAGGATATACAATTAACACAATGGTGAAATAAACATAAACAAGATAAACAAGATAGTAGGCAATATAAACAAAGAGCAATTGACAAAGACAATATGAATAATAAGCACGAATGTAAAAGTGCACCAAAGCAATCACAAACAAACGATATATTCACGGAGTTCGGTCCCCACGACCTACGTCTTTGCTCCTCACCTCGTGGAGATCTCCACTATCACACCGGGTTTTCTATGCTCACCTAAATAACGTTTACACCTCACAATGTCGGTTTTTAACGATCACCGATCAACATTTACAATCACTCACAATGTAACTACACTAACTATCACCTCAAGTGTTGGTCTCTAGCCCTTGTCTCCCTCAAGTGTTATGAATTACAACCTCTCTCTTGGTATTATCACCTACCCTACTCCTTTTGGGATGACCCCGTCTCTCACCACACACTCATCTTGGTATACTAGTGTATTACAAAGTGAACCACACAATTATAGCTGACAATACAACACTTAGTTTTCTAGCTGACAATACAACACTTAGTTTTCTAGTTCACCGAAAACTTTACACCTTACACACTTGCAATTACACTTCACACCCTCTAAGTATTGGCCTATCCCGTGTCACCTTCCTCAAGTGTTTGGAATTACCACCTCTCACTAGGCTTTACTGCCGACCCCACTCTTGGAACCGACCCCATCTCTCACCAACCACTTATCTCGGTATCCAAGTGTAATACAATGTGCAACTCACAATGAAGCTCACAAATATAGATTTGTTCTCTACAATAGAT